ATTGATAGACTCATTGATCTGTTGATCCGTTAACCCGTTGACTCGTTATTCGATTGCTTGACTTTTTGGTTCGATCGAACGACAGTTCTGTCGCACGAATACTCTATAGAACAAATGACCCATGAAACTGTAAATAAAATGATCGGGTTATTTAAAAGCTAGTAACCCGGGTTATCGGGTCACAGGTACTGTTCGAATCATTTTGATTCGATCGATTACGATCGACCCACGTCTAGTTTCATCAATTCGTTAAAATGTCAGCCAAAATTTTGCATTACTCGTATGTTCATAGGTAGTTTATAACTTCCGCAAAATATTTCTGAAATTAGGAGGTCGCTTAAAAGCAACGATGTGTGAGATCACGATCCCTTTCCTGCTTTGAAAAAGCCCCCACCGCCGGCGCTAGCTCATGTTGCGACCGGGTGCAATCCATACACTGGCGCGCTCTTGTAGGCACGCGATCAAAATACAGTTACATTTTCCCCAGATATCGAAAATTCGGCTGCAAATGGTGCAATTATAAATAATGTTGGGAAAAAATAGCCCGTTTACTCCACCTGGGCCCCCTTAGACACGCCGCACACCTTGCCCCATAGGTAAATCCGGCACTAAAAGCCCCTTCCCTTTAAAATACAAATACTCTTTATTACATACAAATACATAAAACAAAAATACCAGTACAACAACAGGCCCACTTCCTTTTGTTTTTCAGTGTGTAGATTTTGCTTTCATAGTTTAAATAATTTATATTCATTCCTGTTTATCTGATACTTAACAAAGAATGTATGTCATAATAATTATTTTCGAAACGCGGCTATCGATGGATTGAAGACGGATACGTTACAAAATCCTTATAAAACTATTTTATTATCTATCACTATCACCAAAGAGGCAATAAAATTAATCTTTACGGTAAATTATACGACAATTCCTTTGTCAATAACCTTAGTGGAATATTACGTCTGTCTTTACGTAGTGATGCAAGTAATTAATGAAAAGCAAATATAAAATGGAGTACCTGTGATTTTCTAAGGCCTCTGCAGGCGTCGTGCTGTTATGTTAATTGATCTGCTAGTTCAAAAAATCCATAAGGTAGGAGGCAAACAAGCAGACAAGCCACTTGATGGGAGGTGGTCGTGGACATCTAGCAACATCAGAGGAGCTACCCATGCGTTGCCAGCCTTGCGAACCCTGTTAGACTCGCTTTTCGAAAAACCCCATGTCATAGTGCAAAGGAAATACTTCAGATGGAAGCCATTCCACAACTTACAGGTTCGAGGTAGGCACGAACGTGATGCCCGTGTGGTCTTACAATGCCTGGCATCAACGATGTGGAATAGTCTCTTTGGTGGTGCAATGACGGGAGCGTTCTTTTTTTGTATAATAATAATTTTGTATAATATAATTATTTGTATAATAAGTGACGGGAAAAGTCGTGCGCTGGTGGTAAGCGACACGCGTAGCCATAACAGTTGCAGTGCCATTCAAGAGCTTTAAATCGCAAAGATCTTAGGGGCACTGCCACTGCGTCCGTCACCCTGAGACATGAATTGACAAGTCCCATATGCCAGTAATTTCACCAGCATCCTTACTTACCCTTCAGTACCGTAACACAGTAATGCTCACATTACTGCTTGGCGTCAGAAATAAGTTACAATAATAATAACGCACACACTCAACATAGCCCCGCACTAGGGAAACCCTGTGTTGCGGGTGCCATGGACACACATAGACAACCACAAATTACACCCAAACTCACGAGAGAAATAAATATAGGCCATACAAATATTTCTCCCGGGCCGGGAATCGAACCTGGGACCTCTGCGTGGCAGTCCGGCATGGTAATCGTTCGGCCACAGAGGCAGTTAAAAGTAAGGTGGCAGTACCAGTAATACCTGGACGAAGTCTCTCACAAGGAGCTCTTCTGCTACTATAGTCCCTCTAAGTCCTCCAGGTTATAAAGACGGTAGAACACTAACTCCGTAGACTATACTACTATGGGAACTCGAAACGGTCTATGAGTTTGGAATCGTAGACAACACGAACAGCCTGACCTTGGACGGAGCCAAGTGGATCAAGCTGGTAAAAGTTTATTTTGTTGGAAGTCGACAACGAACCTGTATCCCCATTTACTACGATACTTGACATACCTACTCAACTATACCATTCATAACCGTCAATTTAAGGTAAATCATTTGTCTTTAGGAACGTCATCGGGATCATTGTCAATAAAGTTCTATGTATATAAATTTTGCGATAATACGGACCAAGTCGAGGATTACGTATCGAAGTAGGAAATGTCATCGAGGTCACGACGTGCGAGCCGCCGCATCAACAATTATTTTTAATCGTTTAAGGCATCACATACAGATGTTTATTTATTCGTTCGTAAGTACCTACATTAAAACTTCAATTTTAAGTCCGAATAATATTTAAAGAAGACTGAGCTTTATTGACAAAGGATGACGTTATATGCTTTTGTTCAAAAATATTCTTTTAACTTGCGGAAAAAACTTTTACGACTGGTCTGGATAATGTGTTAGTTTGACCAATGCCCTTATGACAGGCAAAAACGAAGCATTTTTTACAATATTACTAAGGCTGAGATTTATAAAACGAACTTTGTGTCCGACTAAACAAAGATGGCGAGCTGAGCAAGTTTCTCATACTCACAAAACTAACTTTGCATAAAATTTAAGCAAGTTTAATTTAGTTTTTTACTTAAACGTCAGCAAAGTTCTGTGATTTGCTCAGCCTAAGTAAGAACCTATGTCATTTCCATTTATTGAAGTCTTAGGTAGTCACCACACTTATCGACATAGATTCACAATAAGCCGATCAGAAAAATCTTTGTGTCGATTGCGTCGGCGATCCGAGCAGAAGTGAAACGCGCAACGTCTTTTTCAGACTTATTGTATAGAAATAAAAGTTTTCCTGTCTGGCTCAATGCGATTCCGTGCAAATAAGTGTGGTGAGTCCCTTACACAGGCTAGGATTTCATGCACAAGGAGCACTTATTGCATCTAAACTCTGCGTTTAATCAAGAGCCACATCTGTTGCAGTGCTAAAAACGAATAGACGGAATGTCTGATGAAATGATAGCATTTTTTTTTATAACATCAAGTGGCGGGACGAACAAGGCGTGCGCCTGATGGTAAGCTACACGCCTGTACACACCAGTTACAATGTCACTCGGAGCTTTAATTTGCAAAGATCTAAGGAGCACTACTACTGCGCCCGTCACCCTGAGACATAAGTTAACAAGTCCCACGTGTCTTTAATTTCACCAGCACCCTTACCCTTCAAAACCGGAACACAGCAATGTTGATATTACTGCTTAGCGGCAGAAGCAGGTATGGTATACTGCTACTAAATGTCGTACAGTTAAAGTTATGTTAAACGTTGCACACACTTTCCATGTCGTATCTGTGTTTTTGTACTGTAGACGTAAATGTACTGGTACATCTAACCGATTCTCGAAAACCATTAACAAATAACAACATTTAAGTGGAATTAAAATAACGACTAATGGAATTAGTCTTTATGATGGATTTCTTCTATAGGTAATGTTTAATAGCTTAGATATTCCTACCTAATGTGTGCATTTGGCACATGAAAATGAACAAGGAAAAAACAAAATTTCTGAACGGAAGATAAAATGCTCCGCGAAGTGTGAGGGTGGGGTAGGTACATCAGATTTAAAGTCAAACACGTTTGTGGTGACAGTGCCGATCGAACATCTGTTGACATTCATGAAGGAGCTTTGGCCGAAGGATGTAGTAGGTATATCGGTAATTCCACGGCCGGTTAGCTGACACGTCACCTTCCCGCTTTTTTGACATTACGAACCTATGTTAAACTGTAATAAGAGTTCATGGTAAGGCTTCATGCGCCATACGTCGCTGACAAGTGCAATTAATGTAGAATAGTTACTTAATTTCCATATTATATGTATTTTAATCTTTAGTTACATATTATATGGGTCACAGTTGCATGATGTAAATGCATAAATAAAAATAAAATAACTTTATATGAAAAAATAAACCAATCTCAAAAGTTCGTAGAATCACATCTATTTGTCAAGTTTTATTGAAATCGACTACCGGAAAAGGCGCGAAACCGGATTCATCCCCTAGTCTGCCACCCTTAGAGGTGGAATATTTTCTTCAAATTTAAATGGGACCAATTCAAGGTACCCCTCTTTCCAATAAAAAAAATCATCAAAGTCGGTTCACAAATGTTACGCGGAATATCGAGTAACATATATACAAAAAAAAATACAGTCAAATTGAGAATCTCTTCCTTTTTTTTAAGTCGGTTAAAAAAGTAGGTACTTTCAAAGACAAAACTTGCTGCCCTTTAATCTATAAGAAAGTTCCACATTTGATCATTGGTATTCTATGTCATTTCATTTTCGTTTAAACTCGTACAGAACACTAACGAAAGCACTATGTACAACATTTAAAAGTAATGCTTGCTTGGACACGCACAGCTTGTAGCCAGAACAAAGAAAAATGACCTCAATATATTCATATCTCTAAGTACACAAGTCCGTTATATAGATATAAACATATCTCAAGTGCGTTCGTAATAGAAAAACCAAAGTTTAATTAGTTATTTTTTATAGTTCTATACCATAATAAATTAATATACGTGTAGAGCTATTTAACTTTGAATTACAACAATGTTGTAAACAAATATTCGTTGTATAGGTAGACTTAGTTACTAAGCCTCTGTCGGCTACAATGGACTATGTACTACAGAACCATATTCAGCAGTAACACTTATGTATGAGAATATAGGTATATATTATACTACTATATACGGTAACACAGTACACAGTAATGAACAAGCAATATTAACGTACGACTCAACAAAAACGCGTTTCAGAAACTGTTATAAATGAACATCGAATCAACCATAATTCTGCACCTGGGTCTGTCATGAAACCAAAGATACTAAGTTGTTTTGAAATTTGAAGAAAAATAAGTAATACTCACTGCTCTTCCTGCCCTCCTGAACCCTGTACGTGAGGTCAGCAAAAGCCAAGTCCACTGGTGGGCGCTTGGGCAAGTGCGTCAACGTCTTAGGCTGCGCCGGAGTTATGGTCACCTTTAAGCTGCCCTTCCTGTCGGCAACGATACACATTGAGTCTGTGGGACCCACGGGCTCCTTTTCCACTTTCATTTTGATATAACTTTAAAACATAACACAAAGACACTCCGCGCGTAAATCGTGCGAACCGCAGCGCGTCCAATCGCAGACTGAGGCAATTTCTGTGTGCGACTGTGCGCGCACGCCTGACGTCGAGTTGTGGAGTTTTGAACTTTGAGCTACAGTCATTTTCTTTATCTGCTTCCAGTGTGTATGTTTAATATTGTTTAGTTAATTTTCCATTATTTACGAAATGTTTATTGTAAAAAGTGGATTTGTAGTTTTATTTAACAACAAGAATACATTCAGTTTTAGATTTCTAAGAGCTACAATAAAATTTAATTACGAAACTTAATAAGAATAATAACGTTTAATTAAGAATTAACTCTATTTACTTCACAAAATCATGTTTCACATATAAATCTGTGAAATTAAGTGTAAACAATACAGAATTTTTGTTGATGAAATCGAATGGGTGTTCTGTGTTAACTTGTCATATGGATTCCAATGAGAAGTAATTATTTCTTACACAATATTAGGTTTGTAATAATGTGACAGAAATCTCATTTTAAACATAGTATTGCTTGAGTTAGGAGACTCCAAATCGCTGTTATCAAGATCATGCAACTAACACGATACTTCGAGGAAGAAAGGGCGTACAAGTCAATGTTACCGAAAATGAACTATTGATGTAGTTGGCCTAAATTTGGAAATACATTCATCAAATTTCTGTATTTGATGCGGAGGGTGAACTCACTGAATTGCGAAGTGAGTGGGATTCCTGAGGATGTAGATCATTTGCTTTTAGAGTGTGTTCAGACGGAACCTATCAGTGCACAGATATTTGCAGAGGCTGATCTCCATACATTTAATGTTGACTGGTTTCAATCAGTTTTGTCGGAGCCAACATGTAGTGCCACGGAGATATGTTATTGTTAATGTTATTTATCTGTCTAGATTTCATTTAGTGTTTTCTTGAGGTATCGTTTTTCTAATGGGGCTGACATATCCAATATCGAGAAGCCTCTAAATAAATGAAGATTTTAAAAATGCATCTGACTGACTCAATTGACTTAAGTCAAAGAATTATTTATAGGTAAAAAATAAAATTTGTCGTAAACATAGTTATAAAAATCAAACAGCTATGCATCAAAATTGCTATATAGCAATAAGGCCGCCTGTTACACATTAACTTACTATTTTATACTTAAGTTACGGTTTCATGTTGACTACAATTTTATGTGCAATACTCCTGTATTCCAGCAGCTTAGAAAGATATAGTAGGAATCAGGTTCATCTTCTCGCTCGGAAACCCATCTGTTTCTTGACGATCTGTTTTTCAGTCGTCGTCGTGTAAAACTTTGTAGCTTGGCTTGTACGCCCTTTCTTCCCCGAAGTGTCAAACACCTTATTAATAATAAATTCATTAATAAAACTGAATGCTTAAGTTTATCTAATAAAAGACATAATTGGACTACGGTGTACAATTAATTGCAATCTTTTATATTTATTTAACAACCTATGCTGTGCAAATGCTGACAAATGCCGGTTTTACCAATAATCCTTACTTTGTACTAGGTCAACTAATTTCCTACTCTAGCATGCTTAATTATATCAAACATATCTGACAATCCATGACCTTATGACCTTTAAAACCAATGAAATGGAATTTGAGACTTGAACTCAGTTTAATTAATTATAATTGGACAAATTTTAAGTAGATAATGAGATTGTGATCTTTGGTAATAATGATTGAATATTTTTATTTTAGATTTGTTTCTTAATCTTTAGTGAGTAATGAACCATCATAAGCTTTGGCACAATATTAGTGAGGGTTACGCACCCTTCAGTCCAATGTAGCCAAGTCAAGGACCCATTATATATGTTTGTTTTATTATTATTTTTACATATTAACTTATTTGGATGACATGATGAATTACTGCCCGTCACTATTGACTACAATGTACAGCAATTAGCTCCTTCAACGTAGTTATGAATTAATACGAAACTTGATGAGCGGCAAACGTCAAAACGGCCATCATAGCGTGCCCGAACTATAGTAGAAGGATTGTGTTTGGTCTCATTAAGTTGCCCTGGCGAATTGTTGATGTAAATCAGATAGAGATTTTTGGAGGGATTTTTTATTTTCAAAACAATATACTTACTTGATTTTTAACCGACTACAAAGAAGGAGGAGGTTCTCAATTCCACTGTATCTTCTTTTTTTTTGTATGTATGTTACGTGATAACTCCGGTATTTGTGAACCTATTTTCATAATTCTTTTTTTGTTGGAAAGGGGGTACTTCCATAGTGGTCCCATTTCATTTTGAAGAAAATCATCCACCCTTAGGGGTGGCTGTTCACGCATGAAGATTCATTTTTATAAATAGCGCCTAAATTTTACTTAAGGAGCTATTATTTTTTGCTATTTCTCCAATTCCAGACTTTTTTCTCTCAATATACTTTGAGTAGTGAGAACCAATTTTCATTATCTCCAGTGTCAAGTCCTGTATAGTGGTGAACTAGGGGATATTGCAATAAAACTTAGCAAATACACGTAATTCCACGTACATTTGAGGTCAGTTCTTTTAGTACTCTGTATTGCGATTATTTAAAACTATACATAATAACTTTATTGTTTACATGGAGGGTACATACAAACACAACTGTGTCTTATTCTTTTTTTTTTTTCAAAATAAATCCACAATGTGTCTTATTTTTCAAAAAGGGAAACTCAAACAAGTCTACAACAATAATAATACCTCCAATGAACACTATACCAACTTTATTTTTTGATCATTTTCTGTTATTTTTGTAAACAGCCATATTGATTTACTAATATTATGCTCCCGGAATTTTGCAAAAAAAAAAACCGAAAACCAATATTCGAAAAAAAAACTAATTTTGTGAAAAATATATAGAAACAAAAACAAAATAAAAACAGAACAGGTCCAAAAATTAATTAAGTTCATTGGAAGTATAGATATTATAGAAATGAAAACTGCATTGTGCACTTGGCTACTGAGAAACATTTACTTTATCTCTGATTTTGGTATTAAATTCATTTTGACAAAATTAGTGGTTTCTGTGTGAGCGCTAAATGACGAGGTTCCTGGTTCAATTCCGGGTTGGACCAATTAGTGGAACAATCAAATTGAAAATCGCTTCTGATCTGAGTGTTCTGGTTGGTGCCCTGCTGTTGGTGCACTCATAGGGAATTCTTTCTCTAGAGAGTATATACTTTAACTTTACATTGACTTTTCATACCATGACGGGCTTAAAATAAGGTTATTATAATGCTTCATTAGCAGCTTTGTGACTATTCACTCAATTCGTACTATGATGCGACTTTAATATTAAAATAAAATTGTTCTTATGTCAAATTTAGCAATCTTAAAATAGCTACATGGATGCAATGGAAACAATATTATTTTCGAATTAATTGTCTAAATATTGAGTTGTGTTGTTATTTTAATCATTATTAAAAGTTAAGCTGAACTTATTTATTCACATAATATATCTCTTGAATATTTTGTTTATTTTTTATTTAATAGTACATAGGAAATAATTTCTTGTTAAATAAAAATATGTAATGTTTATTTCAAAAATGATGACAGCGACAACAGTTCACACTAGACTACAATTCTGAATTCACAATGTGACAGACTCAAAGTGAAGACTCAGTTCGTTTTATTTATTTTTCTTCATGAAAATGCAGAAATATAATTGAAAACAACATAATTTTAATAGATTTCATTATTACATACATTTTTTTTGCAGTTAAAATTCTCTGAATGTAAATAATATTAAGAATTTTAACATTATGCTACGATAGGATGATTCGGAACATCAAAAAAGAAAGAGATGGCATTATCCAGTTCACATCGCATTATTTCTTTCCCATTTTTAATAAGGAATAGACAATATTGGGAAATAATTCCTTCTTTCAGTCACTTTAGCAATAATAATTACTTGGTTGATAGGTTTGTCATGGTATGAATATGTGTAATAATATAATAATTATAATAAGCTTACTATGATATATAGATAGCTTACATTGAAATAAGATTGTTTTTTGTAGGTTTATTACCACAGGTAATTGGATGTGTTATGAAAAATGGAAAGGGAAAAATGTTTTTAAGGTCCTGGTCCAATAACGAAATATATTTTTTAATACAGTTGCTCAAAACGTGGTATTTTTCGCACTACAAATCGTGCGGAAAGTTGGATTTCTCGCACTAGTGCTTTTTACTTTTCCAGTTTTTTTTTAATTTATTGTTATTTTAAGTCTTAAACATAGAATTAAAGAGATTGTATATTTATTTCATATTTATGTGCTTTGTGACGTAAGTCATTCGTCATTACTATACTATATCTATGGAGAGACTGCATTTTTACACCTATGAAGTAAATGCTCCTTAGTAGCAATTATGTAGAAAATAAAGTAATTTAAAATAGTAATTTTAATGTGGCTGAATACTGGCAACAGTTGCCATATTGAAAAAAGTCGGCCAAAAAAAGTACTAATTTTTTTCATCGTTTACATTCCCGCCTTTTTCATTAACTTTTTTACGATTTGATTTTGTTATTGACAAAGTAATAAAATGAGGTTTTTTTTAAATAGGTACTGTTTTATTTTACTTTCAATGTAGGTTTTTCGCAAATGTATTAAAAAACGTTGTTTGATACACATGCGGATTTGTCATTTTCACTTGTCTCGAGTCTCGACCCTCGCCTCTGGCTTGGGCCAAGATGCCTCGAGACTCGTGAATAATGACTAACTTTCCGCACTTGTATCAAAAATAACTATACACTCTTTAAGTTGTACAAGCAAAAGAAAGACTATCAACTAAGACAAACATGTTCACATTTCAGGAAAATATGTTTAATATTTAATTTACTCATTCATTCATTATCATGTCTCCAGTGATAATAATTAATATAACCAACGTCTCTAGCCTAGTACTACATACAAAGAAATAACTATGTTGACGAAAGTATTAAGCAAGCCGTTTTACATCGTAAACTAATTATTATTAGACAGAATTTAACACCTTCAAGTTATTTATAATTATGTAGCAATTATCATTCTAGCTGAGGTGAAAGAAACTACTAATTTCGCAACAATTTACACAGAAGCGCAGATTCTTTATCGAAAAGAGGTCATGCAAAACAAAACTTGCATTTGTTAATTACGCACTGAGTATATTTATATAATCTGTATTCTTACCCCAAGTTGTTTAAAATGTACGTGTTATCCATCTTCAGGGCTTCATAAGCACGTTAATGAAAATCTGTCTGTTTTTAGATAGAAAAATAAACTCTGCGACAGTCAGAAATTATAATTCACAACCACAACTTTCTGACAAAACGTCACGGTATTGAGACAAACAAAAATTAATAGACTAGGGCTGTGACGGGACAGTTTCTGAACTTCAACTAAAACTCCGAAACTCTGAAGTAGTCAGAAGTTATGAGACATCTGTTTTAGCTCATGTCAAATTTCGTTTAATTCTATATTCTATTCAATTGTTTGGTTTTTGAACACTGTTTTTTTTTACATTCCTGCATATTAATTAATGTAACTTCCTTGTCTTGTTCGCTTGTCAAAAAACAAAACATAAGATAATTATGGCTAAAAATTAAAGAACAATATATTAATGAGTTAAATTCACTCGTTGTACAACACTAGCATGCAATTTTGATATTGTAGTGTTGTGTAAAAAGTTAAAAAGAGATAAACCATCACAAAAATTTGACAGTCAATTTTAGTGTTACAATTTATGGAAAATATATCATTAATAGGTATTTACCGTCAACAAATAAGCAAGTTGATTAAAAGCATGGCCAAAACGATCCTTAGGTGCCTTTAGCCGATTGTGTAATCACACTGAATGAAACAATTAAACAAGGACCATATTTTTGCAAACGAGTAGCTACAGTTACGCGAGTATGCACTAAATCTTTATTTTTCCTTTTGATTGTCTTTCCACTATATTATTTTAATTATTCTACAAAAAAAAAATCTTTTCTAAAACCTAAATCGACCATTAAATTTAGGTGACGTCTCACACGCTTTTATGCGTTATCCAATTTGAGATTTCACGCTTGACATCTAAGAAATATGGTGTTTTTATATGTATCTTTTTTCAGTAAAAGGTAGCACAAAGCGTTTAAATCTGTCACGTTCTAGTATGTACAGGGCAAGAAACAAGTAAACTTTCAATTTAACGCTATGTCGCTTACAATAAGAACTATCCAGTGATAAGCTTGATGTGCTCTTGACTGTGCGTATTTATCATCATATCATACCTTACATACAACAGCTGTCAGTCACTCGGAGCAAGTATAATAGCGAGTGTAAAGTAATTACTTGATTGCAAATTCTAGAGAGAAATAAAATAATTTTTTTTGGCTAGTTATAGTGTTGCACTATAACCATCAAATCAAAGATCTGAATCTGTGACGTCACAATAACGTGGAATACTGCAAAATTGCAAATCTTCACGACAACGAAAGATTAAAAGGCAACATTGTCAGTCAAAATCTGTCAAATCTGCAGAAGGAAAATATTTTTTTACGAACAAAAATAATTACAAGTCGAAGCTAAATTACGTCCAATTATGTGAATAAAGAGTCAAATAAGTAATTTATAGAACGATGTGTCAGTAGATAACGTGGTTAGGTGCAAAATGGAGAGCGTACGAGTGAGTATTGTTTGCGTAATTCTCTTTGTTCAAAGGTCGTAAGTTTTAAGGGATAAATTAAATGCTGCTAATGTATTTTGTTTCAGAATTTTTCCGTATCGCTTATCAAAGGGTTCATAGACAGTTTGCGAGGTGTAACTGTGCTATTGTATTTAGATAAAGAAATAAATGAGCGAGCACTGAGTCGTTCTCCTCATTTGGATCCCGACAATACAAAAAGTAAACAAAAGCAGACAAAAGTGAAACAGTGAGTTCATTTTCATAAAGAAATAAAATTTAGACACTTAATTTAACCAGATAATTAAGATATACAATCACGTCTATATAGACAGCTGTTTCTAAATCTTAACACTAGTAACTAAAAAGTTTTGTAGAATATACTTGACCCCTAGTCGACCTATTGGTTCTGAGACCTTTATTACGCATTCAACAGAAACGTGTAAAGGAATTTCAGCTTTTTTGTTGAAATTTGTATTTATGTAATAATAATAATAATATAATAATGCACACACTCAACATAGTCCTGCACTAGGTAAACCCTGTGTTGCGGGTGCAGTGGACACATACATAGATAACCACAAATGCCACCCAAATTCACGAGAGAAATGTAAAATGTAAGCCATACAAATATTTATCCCGGCCCGGGAATCAAACCTGGGACCTCTGCGTGGCAGTCTAGCATGGTAACCATTCGGCCATGGAGGTAGTTAGTATGTAATGTAAATAAATATCAAATTGAATTGCTAAGTTTCTCAAAACAATTTTTAATGATGCAATCAGTCATATCAAAATAAATTTTAGTCTTATTATTAGAAAAGCAATTTAGATATTAAATTTCTTTTGATTTATAATGCATGTTTTTTCTATGACTAAGAAACATTTGAGGTGTTAACTTGAAATAGTTGAAATGTTTATGATTCATCTAGTTTGATCTGAATAAATTATAATCAAGGTCCAAAGTTGTTAAGTTAGAAAACATTCACAAGGTTCAGTAATAAGAATAGCATATAAATAATGCATATGTTTCTATAATAAAAACTGTCTTGTTCAAAATTTAAATTAAAACTGAACAAACAGTTATTATTTGATATTAGTTTACTTTGAACTCTATTTGCCTCTTTTAGATTGTTTATACCTTTAAATACGCAAGCAGGAAATTAATATGTTAAGTTGTGAAAGGTGGGACATGATTTTGTGATGGGTGGGACGAGTTACTATTGAATACACAGAATTAATAAAATTACACTGTTTAATATGAGATCCATCATTAGTAAGCAAATATTTTATAATTTTTGTCTTATTAAGACATTTTAACTTAAAAAATAAACAGAACTAAAGAAGTGATAAAGTAATCGTATTATTTGTCTTGAAACACTATATATGACGACAAGAAATCAATGTCACGCATGTAAAATGCGTTAATAAATTTGAAAACTCCTGCCATATCCTTGAAGATTATGTATCATTTCAAAATATATAAATTTTAGGAGTTTTGCTCGAATATATAGTTAAAACTAGTGGAGACAGACTTTTCATGAATTTCCTGATACTAAAAACCGTCAGGAAAAATGATGTCACTTTTGAATTGTCTTTTTTTATGTTAAAATGTCTTTATTATGAGAAGAATTATAAAAAATTTGCTTACAAATGATGGATTTCATGTTAAACAGTGTAATTTTATATAAAGAGTCTATTTTAAAAAATTCTATGTTTTCAAATGTAACTTGTCCCACCTGTCACAAAATGGTGTCCCAATCATCACAATTTAACACATCAAATGTTAAACTCCGAAATTAAAGCAACTGTTACACCTAGTAAACATCGTAAAAACTCGAATCCATGACAATACAAACATTTATTCAAAGTAAAAACGTTTAGAAGTGTGTCCCACCCATCGCTGTGACGGGTGGGACACACTTTCAAATCTTAATATTTACATTCCTATTTACGTGCACAATGCCCAACCAAGCCAAAATAATGACCCTTAGCATAATTGTTACTTTTACAAAAGCAAATGCCAATAGATTGCATATTTATTGGTTAGAATAAAAATATATATATCGAGTTCTTAGGTTTTCGCGATTGTTACACATAGGAAATGAAACTATTTTTCCGGATTTAAACGTCGGTTTGTTTGAAGAAACAAATATACGTGATTTCAATCCGGATAAATAGTTTCATGTCCTAAAAATGTATATGTTTCATTGTGATGGGTGGGACTTGAAATTAGTATTTATTGAAACTTTAATAACTCCTCACCATGTACACTTCCATGCAGTCACTTATCACTGTTTTAAAATTAGTAAATTGTATTTTCTTCGACAGTAATTACTATTTTAAAAAGGTGCACAAATAACCGCGAAAATTGTTGCTAACATTATGAGAAAAAAGTTTCACTATAGACAACAGCTATGGCTGCGTTAATGAAGACAAAAAAATACAATAATTGTATGATATCCAAAAAATCTCATTTATTCCTAATGATTTGATTTATTGGACGTATTGTAGTCATACAATTAAAACCAAATAGTGTAATTAATTTTTTTGAACCGCAGTGTAATTTTCGCTATAATGACCCTACATTCTTCACAGCGCAATTTATCTTATGAATGAGCGATACATAATGTTTTGTGGCTTTCAAGTGTAATTTGCTTACATTGGAAAGAAAGATATTAAGTTATATTTGAAATTTGTTTAATTATGCCATACAATTTACATTATACATGTGTCGCTACATCAACAATCTATATTAGTTGTCATAAATCACACTTTATTATATTTTTTATTAAATTTCTTAACAATGAATGACACATTGGTATATGTATTAAAATTACACATACAATATTACATAGGAGGGCCCATATAGGTTAATTTATCCTTTTGTAATTATAAAGTAATGTGTTTTGTAATTATAACTATGTTTAGCTCCTTAATCAAATCTATTTAATGATAATATCTGGCCTCACAATTTTTGCACATGAATATTGTACTGTGAGTCTATTTGACAATTTTACATTGCAGCATTAGGTGAGAGATCATTTAAAAGACTTTGATAATATTTAATTAGCATCAGAATGTAGATTTGCATTGCACTAAACCCAGTCTACTTTAATATATATCAATCTTTAAAACCAAAAAATCTGCAGCATGCATGTAGAGAATTTTGAAGGGTCTGCTGGCCCATCCCGTAGCTCAGTTGGGAGAGTGATCCCACGTTAGCCGAAAATGTCGCTGGTTCAAGTTTTCGAAGGATTTTTTAATGTGACTTTGTTTGATCTTTGTATCAATTATATCAATCTTATTTAAAATTTTGGTCAATACAATCTTTATGTTTGTTTTTTCTCTTTGTGAGCTAGTTACCAAATTCTCATCTCACCATACTTTCAGGTTACCACATACTGAACTCGCCACAATGGCACTAGACTACCTCCAGATGCCTTCTTTTTATCTGTTGCAGTGAATGATAGAAAAATAAATCTTTTCTCCTTTTTTTTCAGGGAATCTAAAGTACTTACAAGGGTCTTACAATCATGTATTCTCAACGGGTTCATATTTTTACTTAGCATATTAGTATTTGAGTACGTACTCTTGCCGGCAGTCAAGTACTTAGTCACAGTTGTATTTGGACATGACCAAGGGGTGGCACATAGTGTATGGGCGTGGATGCTGCCATTCCTCTCTATGACATTTAGAATGATATGGGTGCTGCCTTTGTTCCTGCTTAGTAAACTTGTCAACGCGCTGTGGTTTCAAGTAAGTGTCTTTAGTACTGTTTCTATTTCATTAATTGTATTTTGTTATTACTTGCTAATCGATGGGTCTGTTAAAAGTAGCAGATACAATTTTGTAAAATATAATTCTATACTTCACACGTAAGTTGTTGTAAAATACCATCTTGCGCTTTTTAATTTAAATACATTATCCTTTTTTTATTTATATTATAGGTTCCATGTTAGGAAGTAAACGTAACACTAAGTGATTTCTTTACTTTTAAATATGGAACCTACAAAATGCGTAAAAAAGTATATATTTGACTTAAAAAAAATGGTATTTTAACTTACAGCAACTTACGTGTAAGGTATCAATATTAAAATATAAAAATTTTGCTTTTCTTAAAGAATATTGGCTTAAAGAGAAAGAATTTATTTTTTCACTCGCTACACACCTGTACCCACAATGTACTAAATTTTATTGTGAATAAGACGCTGAGCCTTCCATTGTTTAAAATAACCACGTGATAAATTAATCTTCTCTTGTTTTGTGCGCCAAATGCTTCTTTTTTTTTAAACCAAATTTTATTTAGTGTTTTTGGAATAGGCCACTATTTTAATGGAATTACCACACTTGTCAACACAGAATCGCATTAAGCTAGTCAAAAACGCTTTATGTTCCATGTAATAAGACCGATAGTGCAAAAGACGTGCATTTGGCAGTCAGAGCGGAAGTACGCGCAACGTCTTTTTGTTATATTTGAATTTTTTAAATATTTCAATTGTGGTGTTCCAATTTATGACGAGTCATGGCAGAATAACAGCGAGGACTATGTGATTAGTCTTCGAAAGCTGAGTTGTGGACTCTTTTGACATGCTTTATGGTAACTTGAATTTATTTTTATTTGTTTAATGTTTGAAACGTATGTATTTTATAATAACGCACACACTCAACAAAGCCCCGCACTAGGGAAACCCTGTGTCGCGGGTGCCATGGACACACACATAGACAACCACAAATTACACTCAAACTCACGAGAGAA